TTTCCCCTCCCCTTCTTAATCAGTCATCCCCTTGTGGGGTGCAGTTTTTCGTTATTTTTGAAGCCCCACCCTGGCTCTTGAAAGGGGCCGCAATATAGCCCGGCCATAAATATGGTCTAATGGCTGAACGCGGTTTCTGAGACCTCTCCACGGGTGATCCTCATCCACATGGTGGCATTTTGTGTCATCGGGTGTTTATCGCTTGTGTGATGTCCTAGTGGGGTAAAATGTATTACTACTACTACTACTACTACTACTACTACTACTACTACTACTACTACTACTACTACTACTACTACTACTACTACTACTACTACTACTACTACTACTGCTGCTGCTGCTGCTGCTGCTGCTTCTGCTACTGCTGCTGCTGCTACTGCTGCTGCTGCTGCTGCTGCTGCTGCTACTACTACTACTACTACTACTACTACTACTACTACTACTACTACTACTACTACTACTACTAATACTACTACTGCTGCTGCTGCTGCTGCTACTACTACTACTACTACTACTACTACTACTTTTCCCTCAGTTGTGAATATCTTCTATTTGCTCTACTTTGTTTTACCAGCTATAATCCACTCCCGACATCCAAAGTAATTACAACTGTGCAAATCTGATTTGCTGGGTGGCACTATAACCTCGCGCTTTTTTGTCCTTAGCAGTTATAATCATTCTGTCTGTGCCATCCATAAACTAACTTTTGAATTGCCGAATACAAACTGGTGTCACATCTCTAACTCATATTGTCAACATTTCGGTACAGCTGTGGTTGTTTCACACAAAAAGGCAACTAGAATTACCCATGGCTGGAACACACAATAAGGCAACTAGAATTACCCACAGCTGGAACACATGAAAAGGCAGGTAGATTACTCATGACTGGAACACACAAAAAGCACGTAGATTAGTTAAACCATGGCTGGAACAGGCAATAAGGCAGGGAACACACAATAAGGCAATTAGTTAAACCAAGGCTGGAACACACAAAAAGGCAAGTAGATTAACCATGGCTGGAACACACAATAAGGCAATTAGTTAAACCATGGCTGGAACACACAATAAGGCAATTAGTTAAACCATGGCTGGAACACACAATAAGGCAAGTAGATTAACCATGGCTGGAACACACAATAAGGCAGCAGATAAACCAAGGCTGGAACACACAATAAGGCAAACAGATAAACCAAGGCTGGAACACACAATAAGGCAAACAGATAAACCAAGGTTGGAACAGACAAAAGGCTTCTTGACTTCTTCTATTTGCCATCCCCTAAAGGAGATAGGCCCATCAAGCAATTCGCATCCAGTTCCAAGTCCAAATCTCTTGCATTATGCAGGTAGATTTTGGAACAGACAATTCTTCTAGGAATGGTGGCAATAAGGCAGTCTCATACTAATCCTCAAGTAGATTAACCATGGCTGGCCTCTTACGACATGGATGATAAGTTACAGTGTTGCCAGCCAATGTGTGTAACCATGGCTGGAACACACAATAAGGCAAGTAGACCGAACACAACAATAAGGCAATAGATATGAAAAAGTTCACTAATTTGTTTAACGGTCACAGGAATCATAGATATGAAAAAGTTCACTAATTTGTTTAACGGTGGAAGGTCAGGAGATCATAGATATGAAAAAGATAAACCAAGGTTCACAAGTAATTTAGGTTTTAAATGGATGGTCACCGGAATCATAGATATGATTAAAAGTTCAACTAATTTGTTTAAGGCAAGTAGATTAACCATGGCTGGAACACACAATAAGGCAATCAGATAATCCAGCTAAAAGAGGCTTCTTGACTTCTTCTATTCGCCACCCCTAAAGGAGATAGGCCCATCAAGCAATTCGCATCCAGTTCCAAGTCCAAATCTCTTGCATTATGCAGGTTTTTTTTTTCTTCTATGGAATGTGGCAGGCAGTCTCACACTAATCCTCTTTATATGCCTCTTACGACATGGATGATAAGTTACAGTGTTGCCAGCCAATGTGTGTATGCAACCTGGCAACACAGAAAAAGCCGACGACCGGAATCATAGATATGACAAAGTTCACTAATTTGTTTAACGGTCACAGGTATATAAATTATATCACTGCAAAGCCTAATTTGTTTTAAATATTCATGACAAAGTTCACTAACTTCTGGAAACTCTATTATCATCAGCAAGCCCAATATTCATCTGAGCCAGGCCGGTTATCAGAGCAGGCGGGACCCCGTCACGAGATAAATTATTGATATTTTCTTCTTATACGAGCTCTCTCGTCGATGGAGGTACAAAACTACTTGGCTTTCCGATAAATACATACGTTGTCGATAATTGTACAGATATACAGTTTCACAGACGCAGTGCATTTAATGACATATAGTTTGTATCTAACATGGCTAGAAAACTATGTCAGCTTCAAAATAAACCCTGTTTTAGATGCTAAATTAGCCTAAACTTATATTTAACATTGACTTAACCCTCAGGTGTACAATTTTGTGGGGCAACTTTGTTTCGTTTCTGTAGCTAAGTTTTTTTCTGGCTTTTTCCAGCGATAAAGACTTAAATTGAAACGTTCGTCTGTTTTGCGTGTCCTCCAAGCTTGTGTTTTGCCCAGTTTCTGTAGCTAAGTTTTTTCTGGCTTTTTCCAGCGATAAAGACTTAAATTGAAACGTTCGTCTGTTTTGCGTGTCCCCCAATTAGCCCAGCGCCTTATTTGTATTTTTTTGTGTGTGTGTGTGTGTGTGGTCTTCTTGGCTCTGATACCATTCCGAGTGCAGTGAAGCTCACTTTTGAGTACGTCTTTGATCTAACGTTTAGTCTGTGTAGCTCACTTGTCAACTTATGAATGTGAGTGAGATTCAGTGGAAGATAGCGTCAAAGGGAGATGAACGGTAAGTCTAACGTATACTTTATTATAGCTTTACAAGGCAATATACTCTTGTTTATGTACTTGCGATCCATTTAAACAGACAGACAGATGTAGGCAGAAGGAAAATACTCACGACAGAAATGAAATGTTTGCGTACTATGCTAGGTGTAAGAAGGAAAGAACGACTTAGTGAAGATGATATCAGGAGCAGAATCGACAGAAAACCAATACCGAACTCTACAGCAGTACAAGTACAGGACCCTTCTCCGCGCCCTTAGGCACATAGGGCTAGACCCGTATTTTATAGACCAAACAGCACTGGGTGGGTGATCACGCCGGCCGGCTTTACTTTCCAGGACTGTACCTGGTACCCACTCAAGGCTGGGTTGACCTGGGAGTCAAGGTCACTTTTGAAAGAAAGTCCGGCTCCATCAGGACTCGACCCCACGACCTTCCTACCAGCAGGCCAGCGTCTAGTTCCTAGACCACGGCGACTACTCGAACTTTTTAGGTAGAGAGCAAATCAAATGGTTTGGCCATGTAACAAGATTGACATCCAACAGGGCCCCACAGAGAGCAAAGTTATACAGATACAACGGTAACAGTGCCAGAGGTCGACCAATCAGAAATAGACCGATGAAAAATCAGAGACACTAAAAAGTATTTTATACGAAGCGAACATTTTATTTACCAATGGGCATTTGGTGGTTAGCTACGTCAACATCATTCCGCCCGCATTTATTTCCCAGGACTTAGCCTGCTACCCATTTGTGGCTGGGCAGACATTGGACTCGATGTCGTTTTTGAAAAACAAGTCTAGCTCCGTTCTGACCCAAACCTACGACCTTTAGATGTGCAGGTGAGCATCTAGCTGCTACGCCATGAAAGCTCCTTAAACTAACAGTTAGCATATACTTATTTTAAGTAACAGTTAGCATATACTTATTTAAAGTAACAGTTAGCACATACTTATTTAAAGTAACAGTTAGCATATACTTATTTAAACTAACAGTTAGCACATACTTATTTAAAGTAACAGTTAGCATAATACTTATTTTTGTAACAAGTCTAGCGTTCATACTTATTAAAGCAACGGTTAGCATATACTTATTTAAAGTAACAGTTAGCGCCATACTTATTTAAAATAACAGCACATACTTATTTAAAGTAACAGTTAGCACATACTTATTTAAAGTAACAGTTAGCATATACGTATTTAAAGTAACAGTTAGCACATACTTATTTAAAGCAACGGTTAGCATATACTTATTTAAAGTAACAGTTAGCACATACTTATTTAAAATAACAGCACATACTTATTTAAAGTAACAGTTAGCACATACTTATTTAAAGTAACAGTTAGCATATACTTATTTAAAATACCAGCACATACTTATTTAAAGTAACAGTTAGCACATACTTATTTAAAGTAACAGTTAGCATATACTTATTTAAAGTAACAGTTAGCATATACTTATTTAAAGTAACAGTTAGCACATACTTATTTAAAGCAACGGTTAGCATATACTTATTTAAAGTAACAGTTAGCACATACTTATTTAAAATAACAGCACATACTTATTTAAAGTAACAGTTAGCATATACTTATTTAAACTAACAGTTAGCACATACTTATTTAAAGTAACAGTTAGCATATACTTATTTAAAGTAACAGTTAGCACATACTTATTTAAAGCAACGGTTAGCATATACTTATTTAAAGTAACAGTTAGCACATACTTATTTAAAATAACAGCACATACTTATTTAAAGTAACAGTTAGCACATACTTATTTAAAGTAACAGTTAGCATATACTTATTTAAAGTAACAGTTAGCATATACTTATTTAAAGTAACAGTTAGCATATACTTATTTAAAGTAACAGTTAGCACATACTTATTTAAAGTAACAGTTAGCATATACTTATTTAAACTAACAGTGAGCACATACTTATTTAAAGTAACAGTTAGCATATACTTATTTAAAGTAACAGTTAGCACATACTTATTTAAAGCAACGGTTAGCATATACTTATTTAAAGTAACAGTTAGCACATACTTATTTAAAATAACAGCACATACTTATTTAAAGTAACAGTTAGCACATACTTATTTAAAGTAACAGTTAGCATATACTTATTTAAAATAACAGCACATACTTATTTAAAGTAACAGTTAGCACATACTTATTTAAAGTAACAGTTAGCATATACTTATTTAAAGTAACAGTTAGCATATACTTATTTAAAGTAACAGTTAGCACATACTTATTTAAAGCAACGGTTAGCATATACTTATTTAAAGTAACAGTTAGCATATACTTATTTAAAGTAACAGTTAGCACATACTTATTTAAAGTAACAGTTAGCACATACTTATTTAAAATAACAGTTAGCATATACTTATTTAAAGTAACAGTTAGCATATACTTATTTAAAGTAACAGTTAGCACATACTTATTTAAAGTAACAGTTAGCACATACTTATTTAAAATGACAGTTAGCATATACTTATTTAAAGTAACAGTTAGCATATACTTATTTAAAGTAACAGTTAGCATATACTTATTTAAAGTAATGGACAGCACAAAATAACTAAATGTTTCAAGCAGTAGATGATCATCAAACGCAAGAAATAGAGTGGAACTATTCAAAGTTACATCTGAATAGACAGACACATTACAAAAGTAGGGAGTAAGGCAGAATTATTTAAAGTAACACATAATACATTAAAAAACTAAACTGAAAATTTCAAGACAGAAACATGTAAAATAACTGTCATGTTACGAATATTGAAACGGGCGCACTAAAACACATTAAAAAATTACGTAAAGGACCCTTTTCCACGACTGTAGGCATGTAGGGCACATAGGGCCAGACCTATATTTTATAGACCAATCGGCACAAGAAGGGTGATGTGGTCAGCATCAAGCCGGCCGCCTTTACTTCCCGGGACTGCACCCGGTACCCACTCAAGGCTGGGTCAACCTGGGAGTCAAGGTCATTTTTGACAGAAGTCCGGTTACGCCAGGGAGCGAACCCACGACCTTCCTATCCGCGGCTAGCATATAGCCGCTCCGCCACGGCGATTCTCAAAAACACATATTAGGTAACAATTAGAAGAGCAATATTTACAATACCAGCTAGAGAGAAACATGAACATAACAATTTTTGTTTCCTTCCTCTAGTCTGTATTACGCACTTGACCGTCTTTCCAAAATGCTAGGGGGAGTGGGGTAGGGGGTGGGAATCGCATGCCAGGACGAGAGGTGTAGTTATCACCATATTACAAAGCCTGGACCAATGATTATGTCTTGTGTGACCGGTGTCCTTACCTGCACACTTTTATCTATGATTGTGTCTTGTGTGACCTGTGTCCTTACCTGCACACTTTTATCTATGATTATGTCTTGTGTGACCTGTGCCCTTACCCGCACACTTTGATCTATGATTATGCCTTGTGTGACCGGTATCCTTACCGGAACACTTTGATCTATGATTATGTCTTGTGTGACCGGTATCCTTACCTGCACACTTTGATCTATGATTATGTCTTGTGTGACCGGTATCCTTACCTGCACACTTTGATCTATGATTATGTCTTGTGTGACCGGTATCCTTCCCTGAATACTTTTATCTATGATTATGTCTTGTGTGACCTGTGTCCTTCCCTGAATACTTTTATCTATGATTATGTCTTGTGTGACCTGTGTCCTTCCCTGAATACTTTTATCTATGATTATGTCTTGTGTGACCTGTGTCCTTCCCTGAATACTTTTATCTATGATTATGTCTTGTGTGACCTGTGTCCTTCCCTGAATACTTTTATCTATGATTATGTCTTGTGTGACCGGTATCCTTCCCTGAATACTTTTATCTATGATTATGTCTTGTGTGACCGGTATCCTTCCCTGAATACTTTGATCTATGATTATGTCTTGTGTGACCGGTATCCTTCCCTGAATACTTTTATCTATGATTATGTCTTGTGTGACCTGTGTCCTTCCCTGAATACTTTTATCTATGATTATGTCTTGTGTGACCGGTATCCTTACCTGCACACTTTGATCTATGATTATGTCTTGTGTGACCTGTGTCCTTCCCTGAATACTTTTATCTATGATTATGTCTTGTGTGACCTGTGTCCTTCCCTGAATACTTTTATCTATGATTATGTCTTGTGTGACCTGTGTCCTTCCCTAAATACTTTTATCTATGATTATGTCTTGTGTGACCGGTATCCTTCCCTGAATACTTTTATCTATGATTGTGTCTTGTGTGACCTGTGTCCTTCCCTGAATACTTTTATCTATGATTGTGTCTTGTGTGACCGGTATCCTTACCTGCACACTTTGATCTATGATTATGTCTTGTGTGACCTGTGTCCTTCACGGAACACTTTTATCTATGATTATGTCTTGTGTTTTATGAGGCTCTTTATTCTTTTTCGCTTGGCAATATAGTCCATGGTTTGACTACTTATCCATTCTTTGTGGTGTTGTTTCCTGGTTCCTACTATGTTATTGTAGTTGATTTGTGTGTCTTTTCTTGATTGGTTCCATCTTGTCTTGAATGCTGATTGTAGTTGGAGTTTCTGGGTCACTTGATAGGGTTTGAAATCTATTCTTGAGTTCTACTATAAATTTAGTGGCAATGTCTTTTTCTTTTAAAAGGTTAACATTGTCATAAATCACACTAAATCAGAACGCCAGAAAGACAAACTAATGTTAGAATATAGCGAACTAAATAAAATAACAAATAGCATTCTAGAACCATTGTTCAAGGATATTTGGGGAAAAGAAGTGTTGCCTGATGACTGGACTAAAGGAACAATAGTCCAAATCCCCAAAAAAGGAGACTTAACAGACTGCAATAGTTGGAGGGGAATTACTCGACTCTCAGTACCAAGCAAAATATTTTGTAAAGTCATCATAATGCGGCTTGAAAAAGGAGTAGATAAATGCCTACGAGTGGAACAAGCAGGATTCAGAAAGGGCAGAGGAACAACTGAGCACATCTTCGCCATACGTAACATTTTAGAACAATGCAACGAATGGCAGAGAAGTATATATATACATTTTGTGGACTTTCAGAAAACTTTGACAGCGTCCATAGAGACGGTCTGTGGAAAATTTTACGACATTATGGAATTCCAGAAAAAATAGTCAACATAATTGCTCTCTTCTATAAAGACTTTTCCTGCAGTATATAAAAATTACAATACATCTTTCCCAGTTAAAGACGGTGTAAGACAGGGATGTGTTTTGTCATCTCTCCTCTTCAACCTTGTGATGATTGGATACTAAAGAATACAGTAGAAAGGACATTAAGAGGCATACGATGGACTCCATTCACATGCTTGAGGACCCTGATTTTGCAGATTGATATAGCACTCCTATCACATAAACATGAACATATACAAGAGAAAAGTAACAGACTAAACTGCACAGCAGAAAATGGTGGGACTGAGAATAAAATACAAAGGAAACTTAAAATCATGACAACAGTCCCAACCAACAAACCAGTGACCATAAGTAACCAATCACTTGAAAATGTAGAACATTTCACATATCTTGGCAGTGTGGTGTCCCTACTGGGAGGGACAGAGGAAGACATACAGTCACGTCTGAAATAAAGCTATAGAGGCTGCTTTTGGAAGGATGAGACAAAATCTGGAAATTAACAATTACTTGCGAGGAACGAAACTCCGACTCTAAAAGAGCATAATTTGTCAGTTCTTCTTTATGGAGCAGAATGCTGGAGAATGACAAAAAGGATGCACACAAGCTGTCCACTTCCACTCACACATGTCCTACGTAGAATTATCAAAAATTTCTGGCCAGATACAATCTCAAACACTAAACTACTTAAAGCCACAAACCAAGAAACTTTAGATAGTATGATTACCAAGAGAAGATGGAAATGACTTGGCCATGTTATGAGAATGACTTCCGATATACCTGCCAAAACAGCTCTCACATGGACACCAGAGAGAAAGAGAAAACAGGGGCGCCCAAAAACAACATGGAGACGAACGATGGAAAGTGACCTGAGTGCGGCATCTTTGACATGGAAAACTGCACTGAAGATTGCATAGGACAGGAAAGCATGGAAAGTCCTCTCTGAAGCCTCGTGTGCCACTAGGCATAACGAGAACTGATGATGAAGATGATGTCTTGTGTGACCGGTATCCTTACCTGAACACTTTGATCTATGATTATGTCTTGTGTGACCGGTGTCCTTACCTGAACACTTTGATCTATGTTTATGTCTTATGTGACCGGTGTCCTAAACTGAACACTTTGATCTATGTTTATGTCTTGTGTGACCGGTGTCCTTTCCTGAACACTTTGATGTTTGTGTTTTGTGTGTGAGATATCACAACTTTAATGATAGATAATGAAATGCAGAACATCAAATTTGTTGCTCGTGCCTTCTGTTCGACATTTCCTGGAGAGAAACGAGCATAAAATTGCCAAAATGGGCACATAAATAGGAAACAGATTGACTGAGAGGGTAAGCCCACATTTCATGAGTGATGTTGAAACAGTTGCATCGGATGTGGCCGAATGGCAGAACAAAGTACAAGCCCTATGCGGATGCATAACGACACACACAATTGAAGATGATCCGCCTGAAAGGGGATAAGCCAACAGTCTCTATTAAAAAAAAGCCAGATTTGTATAAAACGGATGTGCACGTCAAGTTCTGGAACGTTACCAAAAGTCTAGAAGCTGATGAAAAACTAGAACTTTCCGCCGTAGTTTACAATGATAGAAAGCTAAAAAAAAAAAGCAACTTCGAAATCTCTATAAGTCATGTCAGTATTACATCATGTCCCACTGCACTGAAAGTGGGTCCCCCTCTGCCAAGCTGAGAACCGCTCTTGTACAGGAGGGATCCTAGAACGTGCCACCTCGTGTATAATTAACCTGACAAGATAGCCACGAGGCCACAAATGACGTCACGAGCGACATTCAGGCCGTCTGCTGCGTGTTTGGAGGTCAACAGTGAACTTATTGACAGAGCAAAGACACCACGTGCGCTCACGGAGAACCAGGCCAGGCTACAGATTGGCGTCTTGCCCGGAAATGACCACAGAATCTCCGTAGCCTGGTGGTCAGTTCATCTGTAGTGTTTCCTGAAGGTCACCGGTCCATTTCGGGCGGCGTTGTTAGTTCAAAAGTGCAATTTTTCGGAGCTTTCAAAGTGATGTATGCAAGACGTAGCTGTGGTTGTATACCACCATCATGGATGTGTGATTGTGTCAAAGGATTTGAAGTCTGTTCTTTGTGACACCCTTCATCACAGTTGGGATCATCCATTTCAGACATCCTTCATCACAGTTGGGATCATCCATTTGAGACTTCCTTCAGCACAGTTGGGATCATCCATTTGTGACATCCTTCATCACAGTTGGAATCATCCATTTGTGACATCCTTCATCACAGTTAGGATCATCCATTTGAGACATACATCATCACAGTTGGGATCATCCATTTGTGGCATCCGTCATTACAGTTGGGATCATCCATTTGTGGCATCCGTCATTACAGTTGGGATCATCCATTTGTGGCATCCGTCATTACAGTTGGGATCATCCATTAATGACATTCTTCATCACAGTTGGGATCATCCATTAATGACACCCTTCATTACATTTGGGACCATCCATTAGTAACATCCTTCATCACAGTTGGGATAATCCATTTGTGACATCCTTCATCACAGTTGGGATCATCCATTAATCACACCCTTCATTACAGTTAGGGTCATCCATTTGTGACATCCTTCATCACAGTTGGGATCATCCATTAATCACACCCTTCATTACAGTTAGGGTCATCCATTTTTGACATCCTTCATTACAGTTGGGATCATCCATTTGTGGCATCCGTCATTACAGTTAGGGTCATCCATTTGTAACATCCTTCATTACAGTTAGGATCATCGATTTGTGACATCCTTCATCACAGTTAGGATCATCCATTTGTGGCATCCGTCATTACAGTTGGAATCATCCACTAATGACACTTTTCATTACAGTTGGGATCATCCATTAGTAACATCCTTCATCACAGTTGGGATCATCCATTAGTAACATCCTTCATCACAGTTTGGATAATCCATTTGAGACATCCTTCATCACAGTTAGGATCATCCATTTGAGACATCCTTCATCACAGTTGGGATCATCCATTAGTAACATCCTTCATCATAGTTGGGATCATCCATTAATGACACCCTTTATCACAGTTGGGATCATCCATTAGTAACATCCTTCATCACAGTTGGGATCATCCATTAGTAACATCCTTCATCACAGTTGGGATCATCCATTTGTAACATTCTTCAGCACAGTTGGGATCATCCATTTGTGACATTCTTAATCACACTTGGGATGATCCATTTGTGACATCCTTTATCACAGTTGGGATCATCCATTTGTGACATTCTTCAGTACAGTTGGGATCTTCCATTTTTGACATCCTTTATTACAGTTAGGATCATCCATTTGTGACATTCTTCAGTACAGTTGGGATCTTCCATTTGTGACATTCTTCAGCATAGGGGATCATTCATTTGTGACATCCTTCATCACAGTTGGGATCATCCATTAATGACACCCTTCATCACAGTTGGGATCATCAATTTGGGACATCCTTTATCACAGTTGGGATCATCAATTTGCGACATCCCTCATCACAGTTGGGATAATCCATTTGTGACATCCGTCATTACAGTTGGGATCATCCATTTGTGATATTCTTAATCACACTTGGGATGATCCATTTGTGACATTCTTAATCACACTTGGGATGATCCATTAATGACACCCTTCATCACAGTTGGGATCATCTATTTGTGAAATTCTTCATCACAGGATCATCCATTTGAGACACCCTTCATCACTGTTATCATCATCCATTTGAGACATCCTTCAGCACAGTTGGGATCATCCATTAGTAACATACTTCATCACATTTGGGATCATCCATTAGTAACATACTTCATCTCGTTTGGGATCATCCATTTGAGACATCCTTCGTCACAGTTGGGATCATCAATTTGTGACATTCTTCATCGCAGTTAAGTTCATCCATTTGAGACATCATTCATCACAGTTGGGATCATCCATTTGTGACATCCTTCATTACAGGTGGGATCATCCATTTGTGACATTCTTCAGCACAGCTGGGATCATCCATTTGTGACATCCTTCATCACAATTAGGATCATCCATTTGAGACATCATTCATCACAGTTGGGATCATCCATTTGTGACATCCTTCATCGCAGTTAGGATCATCCAGTTGAGACATCATTCATCACAGTTGGGATCATCCATTTGTGACATCCTTCATCACAGTTAGGATCATCCATTTGAGGGGTAGATGTACACAGTCAGGGTGGATGTACACAGTCAGGGTAGCTGTACACAGTCGGGGTAGATGTACACAGTTGGGGTAGATGTAAACAGTTGGGGTAGATTTACCTAGTCGGGGTAGATGTACACAGTTGGTGTAGATGTACACAGTTGGGGTAGATGTATACAGTTGGGGTAGATGTACACAGTTGGGGTAGATGTATACAGGCGGGGTAGATGTACACAGTTGGGGTAGATGTATACAGTCGGGGTAGATGTACACAGTTGGGGTAGATGTATACAGTCAGGGTAGATGTACACAGCGGCTAACTGAAATCGTGGAGACGGCGCAAGAATGTTACCTACTTCTTGTTTTTATCTTCGTCTTCGTTTTTATCTTCTTCTTCTTTTCCTTTTTCTCTGTTATCTTTTTCCTCGTCTTCGTCTTCTTCTTTATCTTCTTCTTATTTTTCTTCTTGTTCTTCCTCATCTTTTTCTTCTTCTTCTTCTTCTTCTTCTTCTTCTTCTTCTTCTTCCTCATCTTCTTCTTCTTCTTCTTCTTCTTCTTCTTCTTCTTCTTCTTCTTCTTCTTCTTCTTCTTCTTCTTCTTCTTCTTCTTCTTCTTCTTCTTCTTCTTCTTCCTCATCTTTTTCTTCTTCTTCTTCTTCTTCTTCTTCTTCTTCTTCTTCTTCTTCTTCTTCTTCTTCTTCTTCTTCTTCTTCTTCTTCTTCTTCTTCTTCTTCCTCATCTTCTTCTTCCTCGCATTTGCAGTCTGTAAACTCTGACAGAAAGTTCCGCTTGTTTGTCCACTTCATTACCTGGCGGGAAGCTGCACTTCTACTTCGAAGCAAACTCCAGGTCTATCTCTGTAAGCTAGAGAACCCGTGTCTAGGCTGCTGGCCGGCACGTGTAGCTGGGTGTCGGCTTGCGTGAGCTCTGGTCCTGATGTGCCACCACGTGCTTTTCAGCATCCCTGGACCCCGTGACAGGAAGCCGTTATTTAGACCTACCACGCATGTGTGAAGAAGATGGCGGGACACGCGGCCATGACCCTTGGCCCGTGAGATAACTAATCTACCCAAGCGTTCATAACCTCAGCTTCTGTGTCCCTGTCGCACCCTCCCCTGGCAGGCCTATTTGGTAGTAATTATAAACAATGTCAGTAGTTGTTCTCTTGGGCCAGCATGCTGGATATTTCCTGCTGGGAGTATTTCCTTCGCTGTGGAACTTGTAACAGAGAAGAGTCAAGGTGGAGTAGAAAGGGGGGGGGGGGTATATAAAGAGAGAAAACCATTACTAACTGTCGTGGGGTGAACAGCCAACCCTACACGATGGACGAGTCGTGACGCTGACTTCCCTAAGCGGGCAGTCACATTTGAAACTTAAACCCGTCCGGAGGGGTATATAGTCCCTTATATTGATAAATACCTTTATCTGGTAAAATATTCATTTCTAGACCCTCTAGTTGCTTTGAGACATCTTCAGTTTCAAAATTGCAACTGTGGGCTGAAGATTTCTGGTGTTTAATTCAGAAATTCCTGTACGCCTTTTTACTCCTTGGGCATGAATATAGGGACTTCTTTTCTGGAGACGCGAAGCGTAGTTTTGATCGTCATTCTTTCGCCTGGTCTCCAAAGTGTCAAGACGTGTATACAGTCTATGAATAAAAGTGGCGCATACAAAGAACCAGTTCTATCTTTGAAGAATTCCTAAGCTTGGGTAAGTTGATTATAGTTTACGAGTACCATAATATATGTCTTTTTAAAGTTGGCCACTGCTGCAGAGAGGGAAGATTCAGCTGTGTGATCGCACAGAGTTGGGCCGTTCTTGGTGTCCAGAGATCATGCTCCGAACATTAACCCTTTCCCTGTGCAGACTAAATAGTTTGTGCTCTACATAACCCACACCATTTGTAAAGATATTAAACCCTACAAGTAATTATTCTCTGACTAGACAAACGAAGTTTTGTGCCTCCTAGCAGAAATATGGAATCTGGGTCATCTTTTAACAGTTAACTGCTGTGACGTCAGGGCTCGACGCTCTGAGTCAAAGGTGTATTGGGCACGGAAATAACGGGTGTGTAGTAGCAGCCTGTGGAGACGTGATATATATATATAGGTACTAACTGTATACATTGTATGTCTGCGAGTGCAGATGTGAGGGTGGAGAGAGGATGATCTATGTATGGTAGTGTCTATCTCTCTCTACTATATACCTTGTCTTCTATCTGGTGTACTAATTTACAGACAGATAAATGAAAGGAGACATTTTCTCCTGTTCTTGAGAGTTACACTCTAAGGAATGGAGAAGGGTAGCAGAGTGTGGGGTGAGCTGGTGTGTGATTAAAGTTGATTACTAATTCTGAGTTCTTTCCTGACAGGATGACACCGCCTTAGAGATCAGGCTGACGAATCACAGTCCAGCCAACAACCACCAACCCATACCATTCTGGGCACCAAGTACACCCAAAAGTCTTGTATATTGTTGCCACTACCTCAACATGGCAAGAGCTTGTTTGTGAGTTTCAGGACTGGTGGACAATTGCAGACACTTATGTCATCAATCCAGAGAATCAGTCTTCAAGAGCTTTGTTGGGCTCTAATGCAGTTCCTGTGTCTTCACCTTTGAGACAGTCAGCGGGCACCACAGTCTGCAAGAGCTTTGTTGGGTTCTTATGCAGTTCTTGTGTCCTCACTTGTGAGACAGTCAGCTTGTACCAGATCAAATCGAAGCATAGCTACCTATTGAGTCAAACACAGTCAAATCATCATGAACTGAGGGGAGCAGTGACCTACGAACTGGGATAAGTGATCTATTAATTACAAACATGCTCTCTTCCCACATATCCTTGTGACTCCTATGATGAACTTATGTAATATCCAAGAACTACATCTGGCTGATTCAACATCTGGGTTGTGTCATTGATTCCTGAACTCCATTCACTGAACATTCTTGATGATCTATTCATTAACATATGTATATATAATGTACTTATTACATGCAGAAATTTCCATGGCTGACTTGGGTGTCCCTGTTTCACCATTCTAACTGTCTAGCTTTTACGTTTGTGTGAGTATTAAGTGTCATCTGTGTTAACATGGCTTTGATAGTATACTATCATAACCTGGGAGCTACCTTTTTATAGTAGTGGGGGCGTCCAGCCAAGTGTGCCTAGAAATATTATATATTTTGTAGTGCCAAAGCTTGAGTTGCCCTACTCCTGAAATAAGTTGAGCGTATATTGGCCACAGGGTATCCCTTAGACCAATACGAGCCAACGACTCAACATTATTATTTCAGAGTGCTGTTGGCTCTTAAGGAGGAATCCTTAAATCCGGCACGTGTCAGGAGCGGTATGTGACACTAACAAGAAAAATGGTGGGTGTTGTCATGGATAAAAATGTGCACTTTCTCCCAGTTTAGGCTTTCCCCGGACACCCCACAATAATAGAGACAAGAGGAGATGTTACAAAAATGCTTCATTTGCATTTTAAATTTCTCGTAGCCGCTGCCACTCGCCCCCCCACCCCCTCTTTGCGTAAACTCTAGTAGATATCTCCGCTCAGTGCACGAACATCGTCGATGAAAATCCTCATTGGTTTACACGAGTTTTACAACAGCTGACGACCTTTTGAACTTTGTGGGCAAACAAACAAAAGACACAGACAGTGGTTTCCCTTACCATCCATTCTTGTCGGGTGAACTCAGTCTAGATTTTCTTAAACATATTCCTCAGTCATTATCTATTATTTTAATTTAAAAATTATAATATATCTTTTGCTTGTGTTTCTTACCGTAGGTATTGAATTATTTGAAGGAACTCCTCTGAAGACAGATAATAAGTGTTTGAAAACAACGAAGTCCGTCTTCTATGCACAATAACTGTGTTGTGTTTTCCTAAAATGGATGTGATGTGTACGTCAGCAAAGACTGTGTTGTTCTATGTGGTCATCTTGTGGACAGTCGTCCTTGACGTCTCCAGCAAGCTGACCTTGGAACGTGGCACAAATTACGGAACAGTTCGGGGATTCGTGGACCGGCTTCCTGGGGGAGACGAGGTGGAGAAGTACCTGGGCATTCCTTACGCCAAGCCCCCAGTCGGACAGCTCCGGTTTGAGGTAAATCTTTGATCTATCTATTCATCCATTCATCCGTCCGTCCGCCGATCGGTCTGTCTCTCTGTCTGTCTATATGTATGACTGTCTATCTGTTTGACTGTTTATATATCTGTCGGTCTGTCTGTTGGTCTGTCTGTTGGTCTGTCTGTATGTATATGTATCCGTGTCACATACTGCTATTGTCACGTGCCTTGGTAAGGGTTTCCCGGCTGAACCAAATGGCACTCTGAAGTAGTTTTAATATGTTGAAATGTTGGCTCGCAATGGTCTAGGCGGAATCCAACAGCTCCAAAACATCCAACCTACCACAGGGGTGAGACGACTTAAATTATGGCACTACAGAACATCAAAATATCCCTAGGCGCAACTTGGCCCAACTTCCTTACTACAATTAAGCCCCCAGACTAGATATTCTCCTATGCTAGTCATAACAACACAGTTAAATGTAATATAACAATGCTACAAACTCTCCAGACAATTAGGAACAGTGAAGATTGGACACTAGCCCAAGAATGTGAAAATCACAAATTTAGGAATAAGGCAATGGGAATTCAATAGAACCAGTTTTACTGAGGAAAAGAAGACGAGTTATGACTGAATAGTTGCTCCTATTAGTAGCCATCACCATCACTGCTAAGATGTGGAACGTTGGATTCCTGGAACAGGCACTTAGGAATAAGATTAACCGCAACTGCTGGTACTTCACTTATCTGCTGCCAGGTCCGGTCCACTGTAACGAATAACTTCTCACACATTTGGGATGGCTGGCCCACTGTAACGAATAACTTCTCACACATTTGGGATGGCTGGCCCACTGTAACGAATAACTTCTCACACATTTGGGATGGCTGGCCCACTGTAACGAATAACTTCTCACACATTTGGGATGGCTGGCCCACTGTAACGAATAACCTCTCACACATCTAGGATGGCTGGTCCACTGTAACGAATAACCTCTCACACATCTGGGATGGCTGGCCCACTGTAACGAATAACCTCTCACCCATTTGGGATGGCTGGCCCACTGTAACGAATAACCTCTCACACATTTGGGATGGCTGGCCCACTGTAACGAATAACTTCTCACACATTTGGGATGGCTGGTCCACTGTAACGAATAACCTCTTACACATTTGGGATGGCTGGTCCACTGTAACGAATAACCTCTCACACATTTGGGATGGCTGGCCCACTGTAACGAATAACTTCTCACACATCTGGGATGGCTGGTACATTGGCTAGAGAGCTTCTCCTCTCCTTAGCATACCGGAATAATTATATTCAATATCTATCAATTTGAATTCAAGACGCTGTCAAAGTTCTGAGTATATCCTGGAACTAATCTTCATTTATAAAATAGGATTTACTGTCTTTTGCCTTAGGTAAGGCAGAAAAATACCAGACAACACTCTGCATCCATATACAGCTTCCTGGGGATAAATCTTTCACAAGTAGCACTTTCACTGGAACAGTTAGTCACCAACTGGACACAGGGACAGTAATGACTGGAGGAGCCATGTTGGTGTCTTCTGGCTCCTGGTGGTAATGTGGATGATTTTCGACTGGGCCTCCACTGAAGTTAAAATCCCATGCTCACATGGATTCTTCTAGTATGCATAATTGATCACAGAAATAGACAAATATTCAGAACAAAGGCAGTAAGCGTGTGTCTTCTCCGGAAGCTCAAGAATCAATTCGACCCAAGCGTCTCTCCCGAAGAAAGCGGAAGGAGATTCATTCGCGTCTTAGCGGTAATTCAGCCATTGAAATTTTGGCTTTATTAATAATGAATCTCTCACCTGTAAGGTTGAATTTGAAAATATAATGTCCCCAAGACAATTAGGACATCTTAAAGACATAACTCGACAGATAGACACCTAATACAAAAGATGGACTATTTACCTATAGAGGCAAGTCCACTTTTAAACTTAGCCTCATCTACATAGAGGTGACAAGATCTAGAACAGTCTACGAAAAAAAGAAGTGTGGTTTGTTTCGTGACAGTCCGTCTGTTTCTGTGTTTATCTTTCTTTCTTTTTTCTCTCTTTCTTTCTCTCTTTCTTTCTTTTGTTTTTTCTTTCTAAGTCCGCTGGTCGATTCGTCTACCTTAACATTTTTCTGGTCTTTTCGTCGGTTTGAATGACACTACATAGC